CCAAAAAAAAAAAAAAAAAAAAAGGAAAAAAAATATTTGTGAGTTGGAGTCTCACTCTGTCGCCCAGGCTGGAGTTCCCAGACATGCTCACAGCCACCGCAGCCTCAACTTGCTGGGCTCAGGCGATCCTTCCGCCTCAGCTTTCCAAGTATCTGGAACTACAGATGTGTGTCACCATGCCCAGCTAATTTTTGATTTATTGTACTGCCAAGGTCTCACCAAGTTGCCCAGGCTGGTCTTGAACCCGTGGGCTCAGGCAATCCTTTCACGTCAGCCTCCCAAAGTGCTGGGATGACAGACGTGAGCCACTGGGCCCAGCTAGGAAAAATAATTTTTGTCATTAGCTGGGAATGCTGGCACACACCTGTGGCTCCTTTTCCTACTTCTGCCATATGAGGGCACCGCAGGAAGGGGACCATCTACCAGCTGTCCAGAGAGCCCTCACCAGACACCCTTGGACTTAGCCTCCAGAACAGTGAGCAATAAATGGTTGCTGTTTAAGCCGTCTACAGGAGCTTGTTGGGCAGCCTGAACTAAGACAGAGGGCTCCGACTCTTACCCGCACAGATGACTACACATCTATCTTACAAACCTTCCGCCAAGTCCCAAATGGTGACTTTGCTTTTGTCCCCAGTTTTGGGGAAGTAGACATAGCTCCCGTTGTGGGACACCGCAGTGAGGCCGGTGCGGTCCAGAAAGGGCACAGAGGCCCGGGGCTTCTGAATGTAGGTGAGATCCCAGACTTTGAAAGATGAGGACTGCTGGGAAGCAGATGCCACCAAGGCCCCGCTCCGGGCCAGCAGGTTCACGGGGGCCCCAACACCTTCGAGGATGTCCAGCAGGGTTCCTTGTTCCGACAGACTCCACACCTGAGGACAAAGAAGAGGGCAGATCTGACTTCTTCCTTCTCTAGCCGCAGCTTAGAAACTTGCTTCAGCCCATTCATCACCTCAGGGGAAGTTCTTAGGCTGTAGTTCAGGGACCACCCCGTCTTTCCACCACCTTGCACTTCCCCCCGCCTCACCAATGAGCTACCACAGCACTCTTCAAAGTGTGTTCTGATGACCCAGCAATCCTCCATCTGGAAATATACCCGGAGGAACTCAAATCCTTCTACAAAAAAGACACCTGCGCACACATGTTTATTGCAGCACTATCCACAAGAGCAAAAACATGGAACCAACCATGCCGTCCATCGAAAGTGGACCGGATTAAAAAAAAATGTGGTGCTTATACACAATGAAATATTACATAGCCTCAAGGAAGGATAAACATATGGACTTCGCAGCAACTTGGGTGGACTTAGCGTCTATAATACTCAGTGATCTATCACAGAAACAAAGAGCAGAGTACTGCATGTTCTCACTCATAAGTGGACCCCAAACAATCACCATAATATTATAAAAAAGGGATTGGCAGTAGCAGGATACTGCGGGAGTGGGGATGGGAGACACAACATCAGTAAGGTTACCTAATCCCAAACCAGGCAAAGTGGGGACCAAAGGGAAGCCCAAACCTTACCTGTACAATATTCACTTGTATACTGAATCCTGAATTGTACCCCACATCTTTAAAAAAAGCAAAAACAAAGTATGTTCTGGGTAGCCCCTGGAGGGGCTCAAAGACCCTTTCAAGGGATCTCAAAGACCAAAACTATCTTCACAATAACTTTAAGGCATTATTTGCCTTTATCACTCTCTTCCTCTCACAAGTAAGCAGTGGGATTTTCAGAAGCTGCAAGACAGGGTATCACATCCAATGTGAGAATGCAGAATTGAATATGAGAATTTGTCTGTCTTCTAATCAGTTAAACATTAAAGAGAATTGCAAAAATATGAAACAACGCCACTCTTGTCACCAATTTTTTTTTTTTGTAGTTTCAGAAAACACAGTTATTTTTCATAGAAGTATGTTCTTGTGTGAATATGTTGTGTTAATGCATTCATGGATATGCATTTTTGAATCACCTCCTTTTGAATTTTTAATATGGTGAATATTGATAGATACAAAGTGCAATGAAGGATTCTGGGTTAGAACTTGAAACTGAAAAAGGGGACAGCCAGGCGCGGTGGCTCACGCCTGTTGTCCAGCACTTTAGGAGGTGGAAGTAGGAGGACTGCCTGCACCCAGGGGTTCAAGACCAGCCTGGGCAACTTAGTGAGATCTCATCTCTACTATAAATCAAAAAATTAACTGGGTGTGGTGGTGTGTGCCTATGGTCCCAGCCACTTGGGAGGCTGAGGTGGAAGGATCACCTGAGCCCAGCAAGTCGAGGCTGTTAGCCATGATTGTGCCATTGCACTCCCACATGGGTGACAGAGTGAGACTCTGACTCAAAATAAATAAATAAATAAGCCAAGCGTGGTGGCACCTGCAGCCAGCCACACAGGAGGCTGAGGAAGAAGGATCACTGAACCCAGGAGGTAGAAGCTGCAGTGATCTGTGATTACACCACTGCACTCCAGCCTGGGCGACAGAGTAAGACCCTGGCTCAAAAAAAAATACATATGTATAAGATACACACATAGATTATATATTAGATATAACCTACACACATAAAAGCTTTCTGAGGTCCTCAATAATCTTCACAAATGTATTGTGAATACAGACCAGTGTGACCCTTGTCTCTTACGATATGCAAAAATCAACTCAAAATGGATTCAAGACATAAGTGTAAGACCTGAAACTGTAAAACTACTAGATGGAAACAGAACATTCCATGATATCAGTCTGGGCAATGACTGTTTGGGTGTGACCCCAAAACCAAAAATTGACAAATGGGACTTCCTCAAACTAAAAAGCTCTTGCACAGTCAAAAAGATGACCAACAGACTAAAGAGACAATCTATGGAATGAAAGAAAATATTTGCAAACCATACATGGAACGAGGGATTACTATCCAGAATACATAAGGAACTCAAACAACTCAGCAGCAAGAAAACAAATAGCTGGGTTAGAAAACGGGCAAAGGACCTGAACGTTTCTCAGAAGACGACATACAAGTGGGTATATGAAAAATGCTCAACATCAATTGTCAGGGAAATGCCAAGCAAAACCACAGTGTGATTCCACCTCCCCCCAATAAAATGACTCTTGTTGAAAATAAGCAAGGGAGTGGATGCCAGTGAGAACAGAGAGAATAGGAAACACGTGCACCCTGTCAGTGGGAGTGTAAATTGGTACAGTCATTTAGAAATGGTGAGGAAAAGTTAGGAACAGAATTACCATAGAACCAGCAGTCCCACCTCTGGAATACATTGAGAGGAAATGGCCGGGCGTGGTGGCTCAAGCTTGTAATCCCAGCACTTTGGGAGGCAGAGACGAGAAGATTGCCTGAGCTCAAGGGTTCGAGACCAGCCTGGGCAACATGGCAAGACCTCATCTCTACAATAAATCGAAAATTTAGCCAGGCCTGGTGGTGTGCATCTGTGGTTCCAGCTACCTGGAAGACTGAGGTGGAAGGATCACCTGAGCCCAGCAGGTCGAGGCTGCAGTGGCCGTGAGCGTGCCATTGCACTCCAGCTTGGGAGACAGAGTGAGACTCCAACTCAAAAAAAACAGAAAAGAAAAAGAAGGGAAATGGATCAATATCTCATAGAGATGTCTGCCCTCATGTGTTCATTGAAGACTGTTTACAATAGGCAAGATAGGGCATTACGTTAAGTCAAATAAGCCAGGCACAGAAAGACGGATACTGTATGATCTCACTTATATGTGGAATGTTTAAAAGCAGAATTCATAGACACAGAGAGTAGGAATGGTGGTTGGCGGGGCTGGGGAGGAGAGAATAGCCGAGATACTAGTCAAAGGACACAGTGTTTCAGTTAGAGGGAATAAATCAAGAGAGCCATTGCACAATATGGTGACTATTGTTTGTTTGTTTCCCATTAAACCGTGCAATTTTACCAGTGCTCATTTCTGGGGATTTCTGTATTTTGCAGCCAAAAAATCCTGAAAGATTCATGTTTTCTATTTCAGAGGCAGAGGTGGGGATGAGGTGCCTGGCCCTCCCCTCACCTGAACAAGTGCGTCAAGGGACCCAGTGATGACGAGGTTGTTCCCAGGACCAAAGATGGCTGTCTCTACCGCAGCCTCGTGCTGCAGGTCGGTGGCCAGGCATCGGCGAAAACCCTGTGAGTCAGCCGAGAATATCCGCACAGCCCTTCCGAAGCCTAGAATAGCAGAGACTGGGGTTATGCCTCCCGGGCCACCGGAGCCTGGGGATGATTCACTCCAACAGCACCCACTGTGGACCAGCAGAGGGACAGGATGAGGAAAGGGACATGGTCTCTAGCTTCATGGAGCCACCAGCTGGGGCGAAGAGAGAACAGTTAATGGGGGAAGTCCACCATCTTAAGAAGACTTGCAGGACTGTTTCTTACCATGAGACCATGAGCTTCTGGAGGGCAGGGACTGCCTGCTTGGGCTCATCATGGTATCTCAGAAGCTAGCGTAAAGCTAGACATGAAGTAAGGCTTCAGTCATGCAAGGAAGGAAGAAAGCAAGGGAGAGAGAGGGAAGGAGGGGGCGGAAGGAGGAGGAGAAGGAAAAAGGGAGCCACCACACTCTTTTGGAAACAGAACATAAGGCATATATTAATCAATCATGGCTGGGCATGACGCCTCCCAGCACTTTGAGAGGCAGAGGCGGGGAGTTTAAGGCCATCCTGGGCAACATAGGCAAGACCTCATCTTTATTAAAAAAAAAAAAAAAAAGTAAGTAAATAGATAAATCATCAGTCAGTCTTGGAGGACCAAGATATGTCTTGCTTACGACCAAGACGTGCTCCTTCCAGTATAGTCACCACCAGCTACCTGTGGCTATTCATGTGGCTTGTCCAAATCAATACATTCTGTAAGTATAAAATACATACCATATTTCAAAAACTCAGTACCAGAACAACAAAAGAATGTGAAATATCCCGCTAATAATTGTTTTTAGAGACAGGGCTGGAGCGCAGTGGTGTGATCATAGCTCATTGCAGCCTCCAACTACTGGGCTCAAGCGATCCTCCCACCTCAGCCTCCCAAGTAGTTGGAACAATTTTTTTTTTTTTTTTTAGTCAGTGTCTCACTCTGTCACCCAGACTGGAGTGCAGTGTCACGCTCATGGCCACCGCAGCCTCGACCTG